CGCTGGCCTCGGCCATCTTCGGCAGCTTCCGCTAGTGCGCCCGGACTAATTGGGTGGGAATAGGACACGTTGAAGTAGCTATCGAACTAGCAAGCCTAAAAATGTTCACAGTCCCCATCATGAGGATCCCATCTACTATCCCAATCCTCCTCTTCATGTCTAAAGTCCTGTAACTTTTGCTGTCTGAGCGGAGCGGCTTAAAAACCGCCGGGAACTATTTCGCGGCCGTCGCGGATGCGGCGGACACGCTGCGCGCGGCGGCTCACTTCCCGCGGAGGGATCCCCTCCCGCTATATAAAGGCGGCACGCGCGGTTAGAGGCCTCTTTCCGCAGCAGAGGGGCTGGCGGGCTGTCGCCATGGGCTTCGGCGACCTTAAGTCCGCCGCTGGCCTCCAGGTGCTCAATGACTTCCTGGCCGATAGGAGCTACATCGAGGGGTGAGCGGTGGCACTGGGGAGCGCTGCTGGCTGGCGCGGTGGGCGTGGGTGGCTGCTGAGGCCAGAGGCGCCGCGCGGCTTCTCGCACTTTCTGCGGCGCCTGTGCCCGGCCCGGCGCGCTTACTCGGGGCCTACCCTGCAGGTACGTGCCCTCGCAGGCCGATATCGCCGTGTTCGAGGCCATCGCCGCCCCCCCGCCCGCAGACCTGTGCCATGCGCTCCGCTGGTACAACCATATCAAGTCCTACGAGAAGCAGAAGGCCAGGTATGGATAGAGGTGGAAACGGAGCATGGGTCCAGGCTTGGTTCTTAAACGTTGTGTTTCTTTTTCCAACTTTCACAACACTGTTTCTTAGTAGTCTCACAGCTGACAGGTGGTAGAACTTTTTTTTTGGACTATGAACAGCCCCGGGAGTGAGCAGGGTAGACCACTTGTATGGCTGCTGCATTCACTTCTCCTTGCCCACTACCTAGGGAAGCTGTTTCTGCCCCTGCTCAGCTGCCTTGACTTGTGCACAGGCTTATAAAAAGGGCTGAGTTTTGCTGCTGCCTTTTTATGTGGGTAATTCTTCTGAGAGCTGGAAATCACCCCTATGAAGGCAGCACCAAAATGGGCAAGGGATTATTGCAGTAGACTTAAAAGATGGACATAAGTGCTTAGGTGGTTAAGGAAAGTGGTTCATTCAGACTTCTAAGCTGAAAACAAAATGAAAATCAATGACTTTAAATGCCAAAACACCTTTAAAGAGAGAGAAGTATGAAAGCAAATGTTATCTTTTTTTCTTTTTTAGTGGTTTTAGTGTTCATGAAAAGTGCTGTTTTGACATCCATGGAGACTGCAGGCCTCTCTTAAAAGGTACAGCATAGGTAGTGTCAGTATTGCTGCACTGCCTCCTCTACGTGCCTCAGTCCTGTTTTGGAGGGAACTCTCGTAAAATTCAGTGACTTAGTCACCTGTCTGTTACTGAAGCTCTTGTATCTTAAATGGGACTGAGATTTTAAAGCTTCTTCACAAATTCACTCTGTGGAAAGTACTACTAGTTACTATAAACTAAAAGTAGTTTTATTATTCTTGTAAGAGGAGTTCATGGTCACAATAGAACTACAATAAACTTAGAGGGGAAGAGTATTTCAGGCCAAATATTTTTAGGAAAATGTGAATGGGAAGCTGATAACTATGCCTGCACAGGGTATTTTGCAGATGAGCAATTCCACTCAGGTTCTTTCCTTACACTTCTGTGGCATAGTGGTATAAGCCAGGGTCATTGCTGCTTTGAGGAGTAGTAGCCTTTGCATAGAGGACTTGCAGTTTTCTAGGTATCATGTAGGAGTGCTTAGCAGTAGTTGTTAGAGAGCTTCTCTTTTCAAGTGGCAGAATGGGGAGGGGGTTCTTATTACAAAAGTCTTTCCTGTAACTGTACTGTAAGTTCACTGAGAAATTGTCAGCATCTGAAATGATTTGAGTGTGTCCCTAATATCTGTTGATTTTTAGCTTGCCAGGTGTAAAGAAGGCCCTGGGAAAATATGGTCCTGCTGATGTGGAAGACACAACAGGGGCAGCCACAGACAGCAAAGATGATGATGATATTGATCTCTTTGGATCTGATGATGAGGAGGTAACTGATGCCTTGGCAGTGGGGGGTTTGTTTCTTCGGAGATACTTCTTTGTATTCTAATTTTTGAAATAAAACTTGGGAAGGTAAAAGGATGGAATAGGAAGGAATATGTTGCAATGAAATACTGTCTTTGACTGGTTGCATGATGAATAAAACAAAAAATCACCATCTTTCGGCTGACAGTTGTGATGATTTGTTTTTGCCTGACTAGATGCCAGTCAGTTTTACAGTGCTTTAAAGATGTGAGTGTTTGGTGCTTTCCTTTGACTTTGGCTTTTTCTTTCAGGAAAGTGAGGAAGCAAAGAAGTTAAGGGAAGAGCGCCTGGCCCAGTATGAGTCTAAGAAGTCCAAAAGTATGTCTGCTAAGAACTTTTTGTTACCGTGTGCTTGAACAGGATGGCTGGAAAACAGATTTGTTATCTGTAATAGATAAACTTTACTTGACTGGAATTAACAGAAGTAATTAATTTGCTGCACAAAGAGGCCAAATCTTGCCTATGAAGAGATGGTCCCAGGTTTTTCTTTGAACAAAATGCATGTAAAGCTGGCATAAAATGCACCAATGCCAGAAACTTTGCTTGCAAGAAGGCTGGTCCAAGTTGAGAATGAAAGCAGTCTCCACAGCTACTGGTCTGGAACTGTTCAGAACTGTAGCAGTTGCAGGATTCCTTCTGTGGAAGATAAACTGTTACATACTACTAAACTCCTCAGATCATCTGTCTTTTGGGGAGGCCTTTCTGTGTAACTAACAGTGTGAGCTTCTTCCAGTATGCTTTCTTGTGAATAGTTTCTAGGATCATGAGTATTTAAGTATCTTAAAACTTTAAGAATATTTAAGCTTAGGTAATACTTATATATACACTTACACTTTAAAGATATTTAAAAGTATATAAAGAGTTGGTTTTAATTCCTGACAACTTAGAGTGGTTTTCTTCCCTTTTCATTTCCCTTAGAACCAGCTGTTATTGCAAAGTCATCAATCTTGCTTGATGTGAAGCCTTGGGATGATGAGACAGACATGGCCAAGCTAGAGGAGTGTGTTCGGAGCATTCAAGTAGATGGCTTGGTCTGGGGATCATGTAAGTAGGAGAAAACTTCAAAGCAGGGAGAGGGATGTATGTAGCATAGTTTCGAAAATGGTATTAGCAGCTATCTTAAGATTCAAAGAAGGATAATTATTTAATCTGTGCACTTAAACAGATTTCACAAACCAGGGTGTATTAAATGTTTTCTTTCTTTTTTTCTTTTTTGACAGCCAAGCTAGTACCAGTTGGCTATGGTATCAAAAAGCTTCAGATTCAATGTGTTGTTGAAGATGACAAAGTCGGAACAGATATGCTGGAAGAAAGAATAACAGCTTTTGAAGATTATGTACAATCAATGGATGTAGCTGCTTTCAATAAAATTTAAATCTTGGTATATCTAGAATAAATGTAATGGCAAAAATAGAGCCGTGTCTCTGGTTAATGCAACATTAGATTGATCTCTTTACCCATCAATCAATTTTGACATTAATAGAACAGATTAATCATGAGTTTCAGGGCTGCTCCATTACCCCATCACCTGTTGTAGTACCAAATGTGTGATCACAGAAACCAGAAAAGGCTTGTGTACTTACCACTAGTAGCTTTTTAAAAATCTGAAATGCCCTTTGCTGGGCATCCCCATCCATGGGGATGTTGTCCTTAGGATATTCTTTACAATTTGAAAGAGGGGTGGTTTTAAAGGAAAAAGTACAGGGCAAGTGCAAGTTAACTTGTAGTTGCCATATAGGAGTGTTAATACCTCTTGCTTAAGGATGGTGACCAAATGTTTACTGTGACACTTGTTGAAAGATGGATTTTTTTTTTCTTCATCTTTACTGAATATGAAGAAATCCAAAGGCAATGGTGGGGGGCTGTAGGGTGCTAGAGAAATGAGCCTTCAACTTTGCACCCTGCCTGGCCCAAGGCTGCTGTGGGAACCTTGCATGGTCTGTTTACCTTTTGAGTTCCTTTTTCTGAGGTGTTAAATTTTGCACTGGAATTGTAGAGATAACTGAGCCTTTCTCTCAGGGCTTCCTCAGTGCCACATGTTCTGATATTGGGATAATGGTTATTAATGGTTATTAAAATCTTTTTCTATGCTAAACTGCACTAAGAAGAGCTTTTGTGACAAATCTCAAAGCACGGGGAAGCACTGGTTATCCTGACTTGTCCTAGTTAGAAGATGCTTTTAACTTAAAAGACGACTAGGGGGCAGTCTGTGCCTTCCACAAGGCAGCTTTTTAGGAGCTAATTGTTAGCCCCCTGTGAGGTTTAACTGGCTGGGGTGATGATGTGCTAAAGTAAAGGAAGATCTGGTACAGACTGAGAGTTTTATATTTGAAGGTGAAGTATGCTCTGGTATAAAATTAAAATGCAAAGATAAGGGTGTGCACAATAGTTACACTAGCTCCGCTCATGTAAAGACCTGCTTATTTGGGTGCGGATTGGTTTCAGATTCGATTTTGACCTTTTAAGGACCAAAGAAACACCCTCTAGAACTAACACTGAATAACCCCCAGGAGCAATGTAGAGCTTCCAAACAAATTCACGGAAGGAGAATTGTCACATGGAGCTACAGAACTGCTGTGATGGACAGGGCAGCTTGTGCAGTGCCAGGTCGACCACTGTCACGGAGGTGCTCAGAGCTGCATAGCTGCTCTCCAGCCTAACTCCCTGCTCTGGGCTTTGCTCAGCAGCTGCGTGTGCTTTCTGGTACAGCAGGTCCTGTTTCTCTTTGTCTAAAGGTCTGCCAGCTTTAGGTTACGTAAAGAGTTTGTTTTGTAATTCATTTTAGGAGGAGAAAAAAAAGAAAAACCTGCCTGCCAGAGGTTTAAAGCAAGATTAAAGAACTGAAAGGGTAATTACAAGCTCTATCCCTGCATTCCATAAGCTCTTAACTAAGAAACTAGCTCTATCCTGTGCACAATAACCTTAACATGGGCCTTTGTTGCTCCTACTGTTGCTTCTACTAATCGTGTAACTTGCTCTTAGTGATTCTCACACGCTGCTGTTAAAAGAGATTATCAAATACTATATCTTTTTTCCTCTTTGCTATCACCCTTTATGACATTCCTATCAAAGCATTTATTCAGACTTTTAACCTCTTTCTTTGACCTTGAAATTAAAGCTGTAGGTTGCTTTAATGTTTTGATTTACACTCTGTAACTTGGCTAAGTAACTTGGCTATATGCTCAGAATGCATGTAAAAATTCTCCAATATTCCTTTTCTTCAAGACAGAAGAAAACTTGCTGCACAGGAAAATAAATAAAAAGATACAAAGTACATTCTAAGTTGCAGAATAGACAGATGTGCATGGGATTCTTGCAGAGATAATTTTGTGGCTGATCTTTGTAAATAAGTTTGTAGTTACTTTGCAAAGCTGTTAATCCATTTCTTTCCATAGTTTGGCCTTCTTGCATTATGAAATTCTATTCTGTAGCTGTTTTATATCTATTTTAGGCTTTAACTCAAGGTGTTGGTTAGATGCTGGCATCTAGTTATTATCCAAAGAGCATTTTGAAGTGCTGATCCTAGTAAAACGTTGAGGAAACATCTGCTAATTCATACAGGACAGAGCACACATATTTCAAAATCAATTCATTTACTATATATATAAATATTCATGCTTATGTAGCTGCCATGCAAGGTGAAAACTGAAATAAATCTTAATTGCTGAAGCAGAGAAAGAACCGAGTTTTTTTCAACTTGCAAAATCTTTGCAAAGGAGTTTTTCCTAAGAATATAGACAGTCACCCCATGCTGCTGCTGACAAAAACAAACGAACACTCTCAGAAGACAAAAACATTTTATTACTCCACCTGGAGTATAGTCAGGAGTGTAGCAATAACATATTGGATTGAGAAAGGTATCAGAGGATACGTGAGGAAGAAATGCAAAATGTTTGATTTAAGGCGTATTGAGTAGCGTGGTGCCAAAAAATAATCATGAGTCACTCTGTACTTAGGCACTGAGTGACTCAGAGGAAAGACTGCTGCAAACCAACTTTCCAGACCCAAGTTAAACACACTGAACTTCCACTGATCCTGCCTAACTCTCCAACTTTCAAACCAGAGCCCAAATACAGTTACCGACCACAGTCAGACTGTTTGCTTGTACAATCACCACTACACAGATGCACTCGTGTCTGCGTGCGTATATATAAATATTTGCTTTTGTATTAAATGTATTTACATATAAGTAATATTTATATTGGAAATAAGGCCTTATAGAGGTTGCCAGGCCATAGAAACTATGGTAGGTAGGTAATCTGAAAGGCAGTTTTCCTTCCACCCTCCACAGTCAAAACAAAGGAAACGCTGGCCAAATTTACACGCTTTTTTGTGCTCCTACTTTTAATGATCTTTTAGCTCATATTCAAATTAATTCAGTGGTTTTGCCTCGGATACTGGTCCACTCTACTTAGCACATATATACAGATGTGTGATTCTACAGTAAGCAACAAGTTGGAGCGGAAATAGCTTCATTGGGACTGTTGCCTCTCTCTTAGTGGAGTGTTATTTCCCATCTACATTGTCCTGTCTCTCAGTTTGGCAAAGAAGTCTCAATTTCGCTGCATGTTTTTAACAGAACTGCTGAATTCACGGTATCCATTTTTTGAAAGCTTGCATTCAGGTGAAGAAAAGGTTAAATCACTTCTTAACCTTTTTATGGCTCTCATCAAAAAATAAAAAAAAAAATAAAAAAAAGGCAACTGATCGTCATGAACATCTTTAAACCTGAAGCCTGGAGAAAGTGTGTCTGTGTGTGTATGTTCAGGGAACCTTTAATACCAACTTCTCAAAAAAACATTTCTGGTAATTCTGCTCATATTTCAAAGGAGTCAAATGTGTATATGAAACCTCCTTAGTATTGTACACCCAACTAGTAAGAAGAACACAAGAATAAGAACACAACAAGTGTAAGCTGAGCAGCAAGCACAGCGATTCTCATCTAGTTGAGTGTAAGATAAAGAGCAATGGTAGAAATCAGGATTTATGTCTGTGTCATTCTTTTTTAAAAAGAGAAGGAAACAATTCTGTATTCTCTACATTGGGATTCTTCTCTGACTGGAAAGGGGAGCCGCTAACTCCTTTGCTTAGCTGGGATGCAGCCAGGATATTCCTTCTCTAAGCAGCACTAGACACTGAGAGCTGATAACCCACTGACATATGGCCAGGATGGGACGAGGATGCCCAAAAATCTAGAGCATTGTCAGTGATGGCAAGAATAAATATTATTAGTTGAGATTTTTTTTTTAATATATGAAGAAGGTATGGAACTGCAAAAGAAAAAAAAAAGAAAAAACAGGATTAATAACAGAAATATTCACATTCCTGTTCCAAAGCTCAATTAGAGCTGTTCCAGTTATGTTGTCAGCTTTCAGCTCAGGCTCTTGCAACCACACCACACCCAAATGATGTGTCCTGTAAAAACCTTCCAAGGAAAGCAGCATGCACAACTCAGCCAGCTGTTTACATAATACCGTGTATGCAAAGATGCACATCTGATGGCGGACGTGAAGAGGAGAACATCTCCAAGTCTCCTGCCAGTTATTCTGGGGAGGGGAGGGTGACACGAGCACTCACTGCGCGGTTTCACAGTGTGCAGGCGCGTTGGTGTTGTCCGAGCTCCACAGCTGCTCACTGACGGTCCCCGAGTGGCTCACTTCCCACAGCGCCAATTTTAGCACTTCGGAGACAGTTGTCTTGACTTGGGCCTGGAACTTCTTGCTAATCAGAACATAGAGGATTGGATTAAGGCAACTGTTGATGAAAGCAAGGCCTGTGGAGAGGGGGATGCCATCCTGCAATAAGCCATGCAAGTTTTCATTATGGTGAGCGGACAGCTCCACGATGCTAAATATGTGATACGGTGTCCAGCAAACAAAAAAAGCCACGACTACTGCAATGATGGTCCAGAAAAGCCTGCTGGAAGTTAGGACAGTTCTCCTCTTCACCTTGACAATCAGCAGCGAGTAGCAAATGACCATGGTGATGAGGGGAAAGAGGTAACCAAATGCAAGTCTCACCCAGATCAGAAGGTGGTGTCTCAGCAGAATGAGTTCTCTGTCATGCACGTGGAAGTTGTTGTAGCAAAGGGTGATGTTGTTGAGAACTGTAGTTGTGTCTCTGAAGTATAAAGCAGGGCCACCGATAATTGCAGCTGAGATCCAAATGATCCCACTAAGAATAAGGGTGTTCCTTACAGTCCGATACTTGTAGGAAAAGACTGGATGGACTAGGCGGATGTAGCGGTCAAGGCTGATGAATGTCAGGAAGAAAACACTGGCAAACATATTAAGTAGTGCAATGAATGAGTTCATTTTGCAGAGCCACTTCCCAAAAGGCCAGTGGAAGCCCATTGCCACGTATGTAATATAAAGGGGCAAGAAGAGAACAAAGATGAAATCTGCAATGGCCAGATTGAGGAACCAGAGCGTAGAGACAGATTTATCCCACTTAAAGCCCATAAACCAGATGACAATGGCATTACCTGGCACTCCCAGCAGAAATGCCACGCTGTAAAAGGAAAGGGAAATCATATGGGCAATGCTGAGGGAGGACTGGGGTGATTCATCTTCCTCAGACAGGTCGTAGATATAAGAGTAATTCTCAAAGTCTTCAAATTCCATGACACACAGTTGCTTTCTGGGGAAGAAAAGAATCAGAACTGTCAAAGGGGAACTGTTTTATTGCACTGCAAATAATAACCTGTAATTCTTCAGAGTTTTTGATCATAAAATAAATGCATGGACTAGGTTTCACATACCTATCACTTTTTAGCTATCAATTATTAGTACGAAGCTTATAAAGTATTTTAGGCTGCAGATATTTCAAGTAATACTCAGATCAAGCGAAACAACACTTGAAATCTGCAAGGTTTTACTGAAGTATTGATTGTATTCTTTTCTAATCAACTTTGGTATTTTACTGCTCTGCTCCTGTTTGAAGGAATTTTTGTGGATCACATCTGTAACAGAAATCAAATAACCAAGCATGTGGGCAAAAGGTGTGGTTGTTTTGGCAGACACTCAACACGTAACAAATAAAAAAAACACTTGCTCATTGGTGCTTTCAAGCCCCGTTTCAAGAAATCTGGAAATTAGGTCTTAATTATTGGGACTGCCAACAAAGAAACAGGACAAATGTAAGCCTCATCAACAGGAAAAACTACCCACGAATATTGACTAGTGCGCCAGAAAATGACATAATGAATAAAATGCTATACTGCTGGCTAGAAATAGTAGATCTAATACTCTGATTTCTAAAATAAATTTACAGTGACACTTGACACATTAATGCAGAAAAATTGATGTTGTAGAGTATTAAATTTCTTTTTATCAGGCAGAACTCACAAGTGTAACAAAAAGTACAATGAGAACTCTGTGCTATAAAATGTTAATATTTTTTCTTCTGCCACAGAAAAACAAAGCATCTGAAACAGCAGAGCCTAAAAGAGTTTATTACACAGCAAAACGTTAAAAATATAAATCAAAATACTTGATTTATAAGTTATAAATCAAAATACTTGATTTATAAGTTAACTTGTCTAGATTCTTTCTGAATTCTGTCAAAGCTGAATCACTACCAATTCTCTTCAAACTTTAATGAGAAAAGATGATGGATTAAAACAAGGAATCTGGATCTTCCAGCTAAGACAATATTTGAACTCAGGAAATGTTGGCTCTGCTACAAATTTAAATATAGACTATTTAGCTTAAAATACAGACTATTTTAAGAACTGCATTAATTCCTGAGGGAGTCAGGTACTTTGATTATATTATCGTCTTTTTGATATTAATTTGCTAGTGAATTTATTCCTCCTCATTTGATAAGGAAATAACGTATAGAATCATAAACTTTCCCTGCATCTTTTGGAAATGCCTTTTTAAAAAAGTTTTTGCAGTAGTGAATAATAAAATTAGTTTGGTCTTTCACAAGGTAAAGTATATTTATCCATTTAATACAGACTTAATTTCAAGCTTATGTATAAATCCTGCTGGATTCAGGGGGATCATTTCAGCTTTTCACGCTGAAATATTTTGCTCAACCACAATTGCAAGAACTGTATTTTTTAATGCAGAGCTGAATTTTAAATTGGGCTCCTGTGTTTCATGCAATAATACAAATATTTTTCCTCTTTTTCTTGACCCCAGAGTATCACTTAACTTTGGGCAGAGGCCGTACCTGAAAAATATCAAAATTTCCATGAATAGGGGTAGAAGTAGTACGGGAGCTGCTTCTTGCTCTTCCTTTAAGCTATAGCTAGTCAAAGCAGCTGCCACACCACAAAAGAAGGAAATGCTGCAGCAGCAAGGGATGTAGAGGAGGAAACATAAGGAGCATATTTTTGGGGAAAGGCAAACTACTGTGGTATTATTCCACTAGTGATCTGAGAAAAAGGTAACACATGAAAGAAAATAAAGCCTCCCAGGAGAGCAACACAGACTGTAAAAGCTATAGCTGGAAATATCTTGCTGATTCAGTCACCAGAGATGCCAGCTTAGCTTTTTTTTTTTTTTTTTTTTTTTTTAAATAAAAAAGACAGTGTCTCAGTTTTCTTTTATTGGAAAAGCTTCTTGAACTTACAACACAATTTTTCACACAGGAATTTTCTCCTAAAACTAAAAAGGAAGGGCGTGGGAGGGAGAGGAGCAGGGAAGCAGAAATGTAAGCCAAATGAAAAAGCCAGAAAAAGACAGCAAAATAGATCACAAATAGAGGCTGAGCATGAAAAAAAAAGCACTTCGAAACTCTGCACTCATGTTGTGGCCCAGCTAAAACTACAGCCCTGCACAGATGCACAGGAGTTTGACAAGACCTTCTGGACAGTCAGAGCAAATGTTCTGCTGAGCTTTATCACCATTTGCAGCTCTATTCACTGGCTGAACTCGCTGCCCTGACAGGCTGTGACTGAGAGCAGAGTATGCCCAGAGCAGAGCTCGCCGTGGGTGAGCCTGCCCATGCATTTCTGAGCGCTGCTCCATTGCAGAACTGAAACTCAGCATGTGCTTTTGGAGCCCTTCTCTGCATTCCTGTAATTCCATTAACTTTTGCCGACAAAAGGACAACAGGAGTGGGGTCTCGGGAGGAGGATGCCTGCAGAACCACAGCTGCAAAAAAATGTATTCATGGATGTAACCTTACTCCAAAGAGTAGTTTTCTTGTTTTGAAAGTTTCGTCACATAAGGGAAGTTACGTATGTGCACACATGTTGGCAGGATTAGATTTCTTATTTATAAATGAATGGAAAAGGTTAAAATAAAAAGTTGTGTATTTCTCTCTTGTTTTAAAAAATATATTTTAAAAGCCAATACAGTCTGTTCTGTCAGGAGGCTGTGATAACATTTGCCCTCTCTAATTTACATCAGTTTGAAGGAATGTTATTTGGTTAGCTGTCCTAATCTGGGCTGCATTTAGATAATTACATGCCCCGTGGGGGTAGATTCTGCACCAAATACCAGTACCACCCATCTGAATCATTTTTTTCAAATATAACATCTGCTGAGAAATGGTATAAACAAGGAGCCATACCACTAACATCTTCAATAACACTACATTTGGACATCAAGGTTAGTAATTGGATTTGTACATGTTTTTGCCTGTTTGCAGAATTAGGGCATCAAGCTGGATTTACCACATTAACATATAAATGCAATTAACACCTACATTCCCATCACTAATAAAGTTTGCTTTTAATTTTCTCAAGAGCTAGCACAATGCAACAATATTTGGATTCACACATTTCCTCACTGTATGTGTAATCACCAAACCCTTTTTCCCCCTAAAAATAATAATGGTAGTAACAAGCACGTGATAAGTACCCAAAAAATGTTCATTTTATATGCAGAATTTCAACGATGATGTACAGCAGAAGGGAAATATAGCTAAATAAGTATCAAATATGTACCAAACCTCATTTAGTTTAAAATTCCTCCATGGAGAGAGCACACCTCTACATGCATTACATTTTGAGGAATTATTTTTCCAAGCTAATGTTTTCCCCTCGCCTCTCATTTCTAATCTTCTAATGCAGTAACTCTTTAGCACTGGATTAAAAAAAAAAACAGAAGCAGGAGGAGGACTGCTTACCGCTGTGTCCAGTGTGCAATAAACTCTGTGAGCAGGACTTCGTAAAATTGCCAATTACATCTGCAAAGCCCAGGAACATCTCCAGCTGACACCCACATATACGAAGTGCTTCTATAACAGGATTCACAGCCTTGATCAAGATAAGGAGCAGGGGATGCCGATTTTTACTTTTGGGTAACTTTCAAACATCATTCAGCAGGGACATTTCTTTGTTTTTGAAATACGCGAAGTCCCAAATACATTATTTTTGGTATTTATTAGTAATTTTTTGAGAGGAAGAGCTGTCGGGCAGTTCAGACCCAGGTCTTGAAAGTGAAGTTTTCCTGGTTCTGCCACTGGCTCCCTGTTTATGACTTCTAGGCTTGGAAGACACTTCTATGAACCTGTCTGCAAACAGCAGCTCAGTAGAGAAAACAACCCTTTTGCCAGCAGTTTCCCCTTGGTTTTGAGGCCTACTGCTAGAACCGGTAATGGAAGATTAGCATAGCACACTGCCCCAGTCTAGCTGGTCTAGTGTCGTAGAAAAGGAGCCAGAGGGAGGAAAATATTTTTGGATAAACAGGAAGGTGTGGTTAGAGGCCTTGCAGTAGGTACTGGGGCAGCTACAGGTTACAGAACAGTGTTGTATCCCATTTGGATGAACACACCCAAGTTTACTATTTAAATAAAAAGACAGGATGAAGTCTGAACAGTCCGTATAAAGCCTACGCTTAGCACTTGTTCTCTGACTGGTGTTTCTTCCTGTTTGCTGAGGTCACAAGTACATTGGAAAACTGACCTTTCTCAATTTAGTTGCTTAATTATGAATACAGTTGCATGGTTTTAAGCAAGCAAGTTGCAGAATGTTCAACCAGAAGGTTTCATTTCCTGCCCCCATCTGTGAAGCAGAAGTTAATTACTGAATGACTTCATAGGAATATTACAGGCGGACACTCAATTTCAGCACCAGACAAATCTAAAGAAACACACATTATTGAATATATTTCTAGAATCAAAGGGTTTAGAACTGCTGGGAAGAGATTTTACAGTGCGCTGCATGCAGGCTCGTTCTGAGATCCAGCAGGGAATTCCAGGATCAGGTATCAACTCAGAATCACATTTTTTGTAGCTCTCTGCTACAAGCGGCTGGAGTTGCATTACTTTGCCACATTACTGTATTTCAGAAAGCTGACCCATACAGAGAACCCAGGCACATGACTCGATGTACTTGAACAGAACAGCTTTTGTCCCACTAGAGACGGCCTCCGCGGCAGCGGGGCTTTGGGCGCTCTCTCGCTCTGTGCCACATGCATCCTGTCTGACCAGGGGAAGTCGTTTGACCTCTCCGTGCCTCAGCTCTGAGGTCACTGGAACAGCTTTGGAAGGAAATACATTGGATTTGCAGTCTAAAATAGAAGACAAATAAAGCAGTTGCAATTTCCGTTCACTTTGCATGATGCAAAGTCTTCCTAGGAATGGAAGTTCTCTCAACACTGTGCAAATTAGCATTCAGTTTAATTACACAGGCTACTTACGCAACTTATTTGGGCTGCAGTCAGTGCAGCTTCTCCCTTTGG